TTTTTCCTGGTCTTGCTTCAAATATAATCACAGGTCAACTTTAATCATGAAATATACTCAATGGTGTGGTCTCATGGCCGAACATGTTAAATTTAACTAACTAGATCAATCACTCTAATCAATTCGAGATGTCAAACAAAATTTGCCTAAGTATATAGTTTATTCGTGCAATGAAATCTTACCAAGTGGAGTGTAAAATATTTATACTGGTTGGGCAAATAAAAATTCTGTTATATATTGGGCATGGAACTCGTCAACCCGTGCTCCATTCAATTACCCATGATAGCCACGTACATCTAGTAATATGTTTGTTTTTATATTTAAAAGTGTTTAAAAAAAAATAAAAAATATTATTTTAATATATTTTTTAAATAAAAAACAACTGCAACTATGTTACTAGAGCATATGGCCTCGTTAATCTCCCACCAGATATATCCTAAACATAAAATATACTATTCTTGACAGCCATGGCGTGCTTGCACAGCTGTGGATGCCCATAACAGCACGTCAAGGGAAAATATTGACATTTTCCTCCGTTTATGATGATGACTACAGTAAAGGCTTTTAAGGGTGACAGGATTTTGGTGGCGCGTGACGAAGATATATTTTTTCACTCTTTTTTTTGGCGGGTTAAGTTCTCAACGATAGACGGGGGAGGGAGATGAATTTAGAAAGGTAAACGATCCATGAAAGAGTGGAGGTGTGTTGATGGGCCGAAGAGGGCTGTGAACAATACTTTATTAAATAAAGAAATTAAGATGATATTTTATCAATAGTAATAAAAAATCATGATAAAATTTAAAAATTTTAATGACTTGTTTTTTAAACAGAATATTAATAATGACTAGAAGAATAATTTTTTCACTGGTGACGACACTACAACTGCAGTGAAAAATTCATATGCAGGAAGATTAGACACTTGAATCTATTTTTTTGAATTTTATAATCATGCAAACATTACAAAAGCTAGTATACATTCTGAGCACGTGTATAGACTTATAAGAAACATAATAAAAATAAACATAGCATATAAACTAAACAAGTCGAAGTTAATTCTCAACTAGAGTACTAGTTTTGTAGTGCTTGTGAGTTGAATTCCTTGAAATGCATTTAATATAAAATTTTATTATTTTTAGTAATTAGTTGTTTATCTTTTAAATTTTATTGTTCACTATCTAGCGGAAAATGATTTTCTTCAACAAGTCACTTGATATTTCAACAATCTAATTTTATTCAGATGTATTTTTTAATTGAAAATATATTTATTTTTTAATTTTAATATAAAAACATCAAAATCATAAAAAAAACACATATAAAATATTTAATTTAATGTTTTTTTAGGTAATATGTTTTTTTTATTAAAGCAAAAGCTATCATTAATAAGAATAAGAATAGAAACATGAAGCAAAACAGGGCTTGGCCTAGCGGTGGAAGGGGCTTGTCTCCTTCCACTGCACTTGGGTTCGAGCCCTGACGTGCATGCCTGTCACCCCCGCGGTGCCTTACATGCCTATTGGATTTGCAGGGTATGCAGTTGGCCGTGGGGATTAGTCGTGGTGCGCGCAAGCTGGCCCGGACACCCCACATAAATAAAAAAAAATAAAATAGAAACATGAAAATATTGATTTCCTAAATGGATTTCAACAATCAGTAACTTTATGCAGATATTAAATGGATTTCAACAATAACTTTATGCAGATATAGAACGCAGGCTTTATAGCAAAGAGAAAGAATAAAAAAAAAACTTTTTAGAAAAATCAATAACAATGAAAGAAAATACCTCAAGAAAATTCTTCCTTGCCTAAACTCATCAAAAACACATGTTTATGTGATTTGAAAATCAAAATATCAATACTTCTAATTCATGAATCTTTGTGGCCATGAATGTTTATTAACCATGATGAATATTTATAATTTATGAATTCTTTATAATTTATGAAAAATCATGAATATTCAAATTCACAAAACATAACATAACTCAATAGTTTTTATAATTAACGAGACAGTACATGAATGTTAAGATTCATGGAATGTATCCATAAAAAATTGTTAATGTTCATGGTTTATGAATAATGATTTGTGAATTCATGTCATTTGGTTAATGTACAGGTTCACGCACAAAACATTTTAGAGACTTAAAAGAAATTGATGATTAAACATAGATTTAATAAAAAAATATTTTTTTTTTCATTAGCCATACACAAATCCACAAGCCCACAAGTTTGTAGCTCAGTCTACATGTTATTTAGCTCAATTTACATGTTATTTTGGGTTTGAATTTTTTGCTATCAAGATATTTATTGAGTGTAATTTTTCACTTACTTTTAATTTTTTTAAAATATATTAATATTCTATATTAAAGTAATTATATTAGATAAAAAACATATAATAATATTCTAACCTCACGTACAAGCGGATGTCATATATGATTTCATCTTAAATGCTGCACAGCATATTTTATAAACCATCTTAAAAAAAAAAAAGATCTTAAAGGTAATCACGGGGCAGTGAATGAGAAAAAAAAGAGACGCGTGGAATGTATCGGTAATAATAATATAATAATAACAATAATATATTAAGAAAAAAACAAATATCATCCCACAAGAAACAATAATAGAGCAGAAGTGACGACATGGTGGGAGAAGATGATGAATTAGTAATAGCAAAAACAACAAAACAATAATGTTAAATATGGAAGGTATAGCTTAAGGTTATAGATTTAGTTTTTAAAAATTATTAATTTAAGTGTTACAAAACTTATAACTAGAAATTTTTATAATCACTAATTTCAAAACTTTAAAAATCTAATCCAATTATATATAAACTGGTTCAGCTAATTATGAGTTAAATAATATCTTTTTATATAAATAAAATATCATTATTCATCACAAATGCAGGTTTTTTTAATTAATGTGAATGCTTGGACTAATTTTTATATATCTTGATTATTTTTATCAGATTTAAAATTAATAGTCTTATATATTTTTAATATTTTTTTTTAAAAAAAATCAAACTTATAATTATTTAAAAATAAAATTTAAAATTTACCACTTGAATGATTGGATGGTTTCTTTGACAGGAGAGTGGCGGTGAATGTACAAGGGCGAAGGGCAAGGACATTGATGTGCCGTGTGTTCTTAAATGTCATCATCACGATGAACGATGACAGTGGTGGCCATGGTTTGGGAGATGATATACTGGTGGAAGTAATTGACATGCTGCTCTTTTTTTTTAAAAAAACTATTTTATTATTAATATTGTTCTCACCTGCTCTTGCGATGATAAAAATCACATTTAATTTCTATCATCGTTATGCCTTCAATTCTGACTATTTTTCTACCAATTTCAACCAGATTTTTAGAAAGTAAACTTCAAACTTTCGTTTTCATTCTAATTATGTTGCTCTTCGCTACCTCTAACCACCTTAAAGTCCAACACACATGACGTTTTGGAATTCTTATCTGTTTTCCTTCCAGCTCCTTTTCTCTTGTACGACTCCATCTAAGCCCTCGATAGAGACGTCTGCTAAAATTTATTTATTTATATTTATTGTTAAACTGTTTTTACATATTGGTTTAAAAAATATTTTTTTAATATATTTTATTATAAATAACAATTTTAAAACTAATCATCATCATACTTCTAAACACTGTAATAAATCTATATTAATAGCCTATAATTTATATCATTATATGAATTTACTTTCTTAAAAATTATTGGAGAATGATTAAGGGATTGGTTTGTTTAGAGGTATGGTTATTTTTTTTATAGGATACATATAAAAATCATGTAATTTTTATTTTTATGAAGTGTAATTTGTGTTTTAAAAGGGTTATACCCTTTTAAAAAAATTCATTACATCTCCAAATCAAAGACACAAGCATTATTATTCATGATAGAAGGTCTATTTCTTCAATCGATTCGAATAAGATACAAGAGTTTTTGAAACCATCAACAGACACTATACTTCTAATTGGAGAATTCAAGGCTTCTTCTGATAACCAGTCATGTTGTTTTGCTTATTGACTCAAAGAAGAGCGTCGAAGATTGTCGCCCTTGCTAATCCCTCCCTTCTCAAACTATTCGAGAAGGATTGAAGAATTTCAATACCACGCTTGGAAAAATACATCACCCTTCGGTTCTTTTCCAGGGCCAGTCCCGGTAGATATTTGCTGGGAAAAGCTCAAGAACTTTCAATGCTTTTCCGGAGCTTGCTCCCTTGGACGTTTGCTGGCAAAAAAATAAAATAAAATCCAGGACCAATCGATGCTCTTCCAAGGCTAGCTCCTTTAGACGTGTGCTAGACAAATTTCAAGATCTCTCGATGCCTTCCCAGAGGCTAGCCCCACAAGACATCCACCGGGAAAATCTCAAGAGATCCTTCGATGCTTTTCTGAATCAAAATCTCTAAAATGGGCTTTTTAAATTAAATTTACCAATATTATTGGTGATCAGTGTGTATCAATCCGCTGTTCCTGCCAACAAAAATAACATGTACAAAGGTTTGAGCCTAAGTAGATTTATGTCTCCGCCTATTGGTTACCTCCCATGTCTAGCTTTGAAATTAACACAAATAACAAGAGACGTGAGCCTAAAACTAACACAAATAACACAATTTTTATTCTAAAAATAAAATAACATGTTTTAATAAAAATAATTAACCAGATTAATCAAACACCCATAAATTAACCTGATAAGGCCTTAAAATTCAAAGAAATACAAAAGAAAATAACACTTTTCCTCTCCCGGGCTCAGTATTTTCACAAGCCCAATTCTAATCGACCTCCCGCCTGCCTCCAACTAACCCGCGAAACCCAAAAAAAGGCCCCGCGACAAATTTTCAACTTTCAAAACCAATCCGGTTCCTAAGACGCAAAAACCAAATCTCTAGCCGTCTATTTAAGTCTCCCCAAATCCAACCTTCCACGTCATCAATCCGCGTCTCCCCAAAACTGACCAATCACCACTCACCTCCTCCCCTATTTAAACACATCACGATCCCATCACTGACCAGAACCCTCTAAAATCCTTCTGTTTGCAAACTGTCAGTAGAAGAAACCTTTTCGCTTTCGTTTTCAAGAATCCCAAATGGCTCCCAAAGCAGAGAAGAAGCCAGCTGAGAAAAAACCGGCAGCAGCAGAGAAAGCTCCGGCGGAGAAGAAGCCAAGGGCAGAGAAGAAGTTGCCAAAAGAAGGCGCTGGTGACAAGAAGAAGAAGAAGTCAAAGAAGAACGTCGAGACCTACAAGATCTACATCTTCAAGGTCTTGAAACAGGTTCACCCTGACATCGGGATCTCGAGCAAGGCTATGGGTATCATGAACAGTTTTATAAACGATATCTTTGAGAAACTTGCTCAGGAGTCATCAAGGCTTGCAAGGTATAATAAGAAGCCCACTATCACTTCAAGGGAGATCCAGACTGCTGTGAGATTGGTGTTGCCTGGGGAGCTTGCCAAACATGCTGTGTCAGAAGGGACTAAGGCTGTTACCAAATTTACTAGCTCTTAGGCGGATAGGTGGTCTGTTGGTACTGATAGTTGAATTATGTTCGTTTTGATGTAAAGGTGTAGGTTATCATTCTAGGCGGAATTTGATGTAATGCTGTCAGTGATCATTGGAATCAGTATCCGGTTCGCAATATTATCTGATCAATTTTTACTTATTTTTTTCCTGCTTTTTGATAGATATTTTTAATGTGGTTCGATAGCGTCCGAGGATTTTGAAAATGGTTTCAGATTCTTGGATCAGAGGGGCTGGGTGATTTGTGGTTTCTCATTTAGGATGACGAATTTGATAGATGTTGGATCTAATCCGAATGAAAAAGGGCTTTTCTTCGTAGAAATTGATGTGTTATTATTTGGAAATTACTCATGCACGGTGCACATTCAAAGAGGTTTTTGGCTGTGGAAGGAGAAGAGTTACTATAAACCAAGGATCTAATTGCATATAAAATTTGCGATGTAGGTATGTAATTAAGTAATTTACAAAATAATTGTACTTAATTATGTAATATATATACATATATATATATATATATATTTGAAAAAAAAAACTGATATGAAAGTTTTTTAAATTTTTTTTAATTGAAAATATATTAAAATAATATTTTTAAAATCTAATTTTAATATAAACATACAACAACAAATGATAAAAAATATTTATAAAAGTAACTTGTTAAAAGAATACTTTTTTTTAAAATAAAAAAATTGCTACTATGATAATTTCAAACATTGCAAATCAGAATTTGATTTCATTGCACAAAAGTAAATTATTACTAAGACGCTTTATTTTTTATTAACTAATATGTTAGTAATTTTAATTATTAAAAAATCTATTTTTTGCAATAGAGAAAGGCTAGGATTATGTATATAGGAGATTTTATGCTTGTTTACTTTTATATTTTAAAAATGTTTTTAAAAAAAATTAATTTTTTTATGTTAAACTAATATTTTTTTAATATATTTTTAAATAAAAAATTCTTTACAAAATAATTATAATTAAACTCCAAAATAAGCAGGATGTCATTCATCACAGACTCATTTGATTTTCTTAACTCTCCCCTTTTTCATTCATTCAGGCCCTGATGCAGATAGTTGGGCTGGGCCTGGGCTCTCTAAGTTAGATTTCTGCCAACGTACGGATTGATCCTTCAAAAGGCCGAAGTCATCTATCACCGTCAACTCGAGCCTCCTTTAATCCAACCACCCATGTCATCAATCCGCGTCTCCCTAAAACCAGCCAATCATGCTCATCTTATCTCTCTATATAAACAAACAAACCCGCTGAACGGAAACTACCACACCAAACTCTAGACGTAAGTATCTCGATTTCGCCCTGAAATAACAAAAGGAATCTCAAAATGGCTCCCAAGGCAGAAAAGAAGCCAGCCGAGAAAAAGCCAGCCGCAGCCGAGAAAGCGCCGGCGGAGAAGAAGCCAAGGGCAGAGAAGAAATTGCCTAAAGAAGGAGCGATTGACAAGAAGAAGAAGAAGGCTAAGAAGAGCGTGGAGACTTACAAGATTTACATCTTCAAGGTTTTGAAACAAGTCCATCCTGATATTGGGATCTCAAGCAAAGCAATGGGTATCATGAATAGTTTCATCAATGATATCTTTGAAAAGCTTGCACAAGAGGCTTCGAGGCTCGCTCGGTATAACAAGAAGCCTACAATTACGTCCCGGGAGATCCAGACTGCTGTTAGACTGGTTTTGCCTGGAGAGCTTGCGAAACATGCCGTTTCTGAAGGGACTAAGGCTGTTACCAAGTTTACCAGCTCTTAGGTGGCCAGGGTTTGTTGGGTTCTGGATGGTGGGTATTTTGCGAGGTTCGATCTGTCAATTAGGGTTTCTGTTCATGTATAGTTTCAGGTTTCGATTTTAGTCGAATTGATGTGGCTGTTTGGTTTTTCTCAATGATACATGGATCTTGTTCGTAAATTGTCCTTGATTATTGGGTTTATTTGTTTCTTCTCACTCATTTTACTTTCTGTTTGGGTTTTTGATTCGCTTTGTTGATTCGGGTTACTTTTCCTGTGGTTTCGTGCATTTTTTTGTATCTGAAATTGTTCTAGATTGTTTCATCGGTTGCAATTCGACTGGAACTTAATTGAGTTTATTGCACATTTTTGTATAAATTTTCTGAAATTAGAGCCTGTTAAGGTATGTTGTATCTATCTTGAATGCTTTCAGTTGGGTATGGAGAATTATTGAAAATGCTTGATTCAGATAACGAACCTTATGTATTTTTTTAAGTTTCCCGTGTTATGGCACAACGTCTGAGAATTGGCATGTTCTGGTCGGGATTAGAATCCTTCGATGTGATTTAGCGACTTCATTTAGCTATTCAAAACGGTAAGTTGTATGATCATCTCAGGGTATGGATCCTGGTGTGTTTGTTTTTGAGGCGTGGCGAGGTGGGTTTGAGTATTTGAGTTACAATCTCCTTAAAAGCACAAACCAGCCTCACTACGTAAGTATATCTCAGAATGGTAGAATTCCTTCTAATTCTAAGGTGTCTGATAACCATCATAGGCAGTTACTGGATTTGGCCTCGTGCAAGGTCTGGCCTTTTGTTGGAGATTCAAGAAGCTGTTTTTGGTTTGCTCTTTCCGATAACTTGCAGAGGACATTATTGTGTCGAAAATAAATCTTAATAGCGAAGTATTCTGCTGTAAGTGCTTGGGTTTCATCAGAGTGAAAAGGCTGTAGGTTGAACGTCACAAAGTGATTTGGAGCATTCGTCTTATTCCCATTCACAGCTTTACCTCTTATTTGGCACTAGGCTGTCCTCAATAGACTACCTATCAAAGTTACAAAAACCAGTAGAGGGAATGTTGATCCTATGTATGTTCTTTGTGGAGATACCGACTAGCATTGCGATCATATGTTCTTTGATGACTTTCAATCTGCAGAAAGTTATGATAACAAGAGTTCTTCCTTCTTTGATGCTAAGATATCCTTGAATGCTGCTTCCTTTCTGTTCTATGGAAGGAAATAAACAGGAGAGCTCATGGCCTTCCTAGGTCTGCACGTTATGCTGGAATCAAAACGTATTATGCCTTCTAGGTCTCCACGTTATTCTGGAATCGAAACGTATTATGTAAGTTGTTCCTTGAGGTTGCCGAACTCTAGCATGTAGCTGCAGTTTCTGATTAAGTTTTCTGCTATAACTAATTCAATCTTTGCAGTAGATTTTCCAACCCCCGATCACTTTGATCTTCCAAAGATTTCCAATCTTTGCAGCAGTATGAATGAACGCTTTACATACATGAAAACCCGAAGAGCTGCTTCTCATTCGGTTAAAGTTCTGGTGTTGGTTCTTTCGTTCCATCCTTGAAATATTATTCTGTTCAGTTTTCAGTTGCTTCCTATTTCAACTTCTTTACAGAATGGAGTTTGCTCTGATCACTTCAATAATTGGCCGTCGCGCAATCGACAATTTCCTCCGCCGCGGACCAGATCGCTTGAAAATTTGAACAGTGCAAAAAATACTCAATTTGAGCACACAATTGATTCCTTGATGTCCCTTGGTGATCTATTCAAAGCAGCAGGGTGGGCCTGTCTGACCGAGCGGTACAACTCAAGCTGCATATTCCTGCAAGCTTCCAAGATCCTCTGGGTGCCTTGCCGGCTCTCTTCTCCAATCGTTTTTCATTCCATGATGTCCCCTTTATTCGATGTCTCAGTAGTCTGACGTCTTGTGTATTTTAAAAGATTTAAAATTATTTTATTATTTTTTAAAATTAATATTTTTTTAATATTTTTAAATTATTTTAAAAATATTTTTAAAAAAAAATATTATTTTAATACTTTTCTAAATAAAAAATACTTTAAAAAATAACTACAGTATTATTCTAAATATCTTTTAAGACCTAGCCTAGATCTTAATTAGCTTGACTAATTTATTTTTTAAAAGTAAAACAATATTTTTTTATATATTTTGGTAAAAAATTCTATTTAAAATAAAATCTTGCGTAAGCTAAGTTTGAAAACTCTATTTGTTTTGCTGGTAATTATATCTTTTAAGAAAATAATTTTTTTGTTATAAAATATATATTTTAATTGTTTTATATTGTTTTGATATATTATGTTAAAAATAAAAAATATTATTTTAATATATTTAAAAATAAAAAAATTTTTAAAAAAATATTATAATGCTAAATACTATCAACATACACATGTCATCAAAGAAGTAATCTTATTATATTGATCATGTAGAAGGCCAATTTTTTTTTTTTTTTAAATAGCTAGTGTAAGGTTTAAAATAGCTAGTGTAAGGTTTAACATGTGTTTTATTATACAAAAGAGAGTCATCAAATTTTATATTATTTTTGGGTGATTTGACAATTAAATAATCTTGAACTTACTGTTAATCTTGCAACAAGAGAAAATCCTAGTGCTGAAAATCTTACAATTTATTAAAAGACTATTTCTTAAAATCGATGCCTAGTTGAATTAATCCATTTCTAATTTGTGCATAATTTACCTTTTGAGATATCTTACTTATAAGACTGTTTCTTAACCATATAATTTACTCATCTATAGTGTTGAAAAAAATAAAGTTATGAGGACGTGGTGTGACATTATCATATTCTTGATGTACCTGATTCCCTGATCTTACTGCCTCAAGATAGCTTCAGTTGTCTCTTACACGGACGAGAGCCTTGACTTTGTTGTTGTGCTTGGATATTTGTTTTCCTTTTCCCATTGATTTTTATTTCACTTTATTTTTTCTTTTATGATTAGTCACGTGTTTGCAGGAGTCAAGCCATATGTCATTTAAACATTCTAGCAGAATCTTGTCTAACAAATTCAAAAGGATGGTGACAAAGCTAAAATGCTTTCTTGCTTGATTTTTTTTTCTAAGAAACAAATAATTTAATAACTTTATCTTATTTTCTGAAATGGACTTTAAGTTTATAGTAATCGACGCAACTTAGAAAGTTTTCAAAATAACATTGTAGGTTAAAACTAGAAAAGTTTGTTAAAGTTTGAGTGTTTAAAGTGATGGATGGTAGCTAAGGTTAGAGGTAGTATAGCCTGTATGGAAGATCATATTGGTTTTTGTGTTTGTGTGAAGAAATTGTATTTGTTTGAAACTTTGGCTAGGTTTTTTGAAAGAGATTCCCTTTATTTTTTTCCATAATCGTGTTCAATATAGATCTTAAAAGAGTTTTTAAATGGTATTACATGACTTGGTTCCAAACTTAAAACGTGTGACTGAGCTATCTCTAGCTGATTATTGTTTAACAAAGCTGCTAAGTTTTATCTCTAGTTGATAATCAAATAATAACTATTGAGGAGGTTTAAATGGTATTACAGAAACCAGAATGATGAATGCTGATCATCATACAGTTTGTTAAAAGCAGAGTCTATAAACTAGTTAAGTTTGGTGCTACGAGTTTTATGATTATTATTGATTTACTTTTGGATTATTTTGGCAATCTAACTAAAGACTTTTTATTTCTTTGTTAAGTTTTCAGTTGATTATATTGAATTATTGTTATAAAAAAAATTGAATAAATTAGCTAATTATTAGATGCATTAACCTTCAATTGCTTGATTTATATTTAGTTATTGGAACAAAATAAGAAGAAAAATCTAAAGTTTAGTGCTTTCTTGAAAATAAAGTAAAGTTCTGCATTACTTTATTTCAATGGTTTTTCAGTGATAATATAAATATCAATAATGAGCATTCTACTCAACATGATTGCAACAATGATATTAGTTCAATAATATAGAAAGAAATCAGGGTTTGAATCATGAAAGGGACTTGTCTAGGGTATGATGAGTTATTCCTTTAAGGTATGATACTAATGTTCATAATATTGGTGTTGATAATAGTAATGACACTAATAATTTTATTGATAATAATGATATTGATTAATGTCTGAGAAATAATAAGTAAAATGAAATCAATGAAACTAGTTTTAGTTTGCATGATACACCAACCAACATATTATTTATTTTAAGTTTGTTAACTCCTAGTTAATGAAAAATTACTTAAATAATGTATAAATTTTTATTTGAATAATATATTTTAAAATGCATGAACTATGTATGAATTTTTATTTAAAATATTTTAATTATATATAAATTTTTTTATAATTTTATGATATATTTTTATAATTTAAAGTTATTTTATATTGTTTGTATTATATTAAAAATATGTTTTTGACAACTGTTGGGCTATTTTCAATGATTAAGACCTTCAATGGGCTGTTGTGAACATTGGGCTGGGCTTGTGAACCCCGACACTACTTGGACTTTAGCGAAGGCGGTCCTTGCTCTGGCTTCCTATCGGTCTCCAAAAGTTAAAAGGAAAAACCCACATCTCACCGTCCATTCAAAACCCTGCAAATCCAACCATACACGTCATCAATCCGCGTTTCACAAAATCAACCAATAATCACGTACCTCCTATCTCTTTATAAACAAACCAAACAATTCCATCCCATCACCAAAGCTCTTAAAAAAGTCCCCGTTTCCGTCTCTTTAAAAAACCTCATCTCAAAGTCTCTTCTCAAGAATTCCAGATGGCTCCTAAGGCAGAGAAGAAGCCGGCCGAGAAGAAGCCTGCAGCGGCCGAGAAAGCCCCAGCAGAGAAGAAGCCAAGAGCAGAGAAGAAGTTGCCCAAAGAAGGAGGAGCGATTGACAAGAAGAAGAAGAAGGCAAAAAAGAGCGTCGAGACCTACAAGATTTACATCTTCAAGGTCTTGAAACAAGTCCACCCTGATATTGGGATTTCTAGTAAGGCTATGGGTATCATGAACAGTTTCATCAACGATATCTTTGAGAAGCTTGCTCAAGAGGCTTCGAGGCTTGCCAGGTACAACAAGAAACCCACAATTACTTCTCGGGAGATCCAAACTGCTGTCCGATTGGTTTTGCCTGGAGAACTTGCGAAACATGCTGTTTCTGAAGGGACGAAGGCTGTTACCAAGTTTACAAGCTCTTAGACAGCTAGGACTCGTTGAATCCTTTGTGGGTTCTGTTGAATTGTGCGTCTATGTAAAGGTTCTTTAGATCCTCGGTTGAGAGAATTTGATTTAGGCTTTTTTTTAATTTAATTTTATTTGCTGGAATTCTCCTTAAATAAATTGTTTAATTATGTGGGTTTTTTTAATCCAATTTGATTAGATTAATCGAAGAGGCTAGTAGTAGAGACAATCCGGTGTCGCATGACGTAGCTTTTCTAACATGCTTACTCATGTATCACATCGAAGTTAAAAAAATGGCCCACAATCATCGCCATCATCACCTGTTGGCAATTTACCGGAGCAGCTTGGGAAAATGAAGCCGCGTGGGTCTAAATATCGCCTCGCTACGTGCAGAACCACCCGTGCTCTTATCCATAACACCAGTACTCCTGTTTTATCATCTTCAACAACATAGTAGCTAGCAATCCTTGAGTTTTCCATTAATTAATGGCGCTAAATTCCTCGTCTCTTGGTTCAACAATAAGCCTAAGTTCAATCTCTTACAGATCCAAAAACCCTAGAAATTCCCTCAGTTGCAAGCACCTCTTTCTAAATTTCTCCTCGCCAGTAACTGAATCACTTCGTGCTTCGGCTGACTCCACTCCCAAAGCGAAATTCGTTGCCAGACGTAAAGAGTCGGTTTCGGTCCGGCAACTCGGACGCCCTCTAAGTAATGTCAGGGTGGATTAATTTTTTAAGCAAAAGATTCCAAAATGTTTAATTTTTAAGATTAAAAACTGATTTATTTTATTTTTTTTTGTAATTAATTTGATGTTGAGGTGGCAGTGGAGTATATGAGTTTGCCAGCGAGTCAGTACTCCGTGTTGGATGCAGAGAGGATAGAGAGGGTAGACGACAACACGTTTAGGTGTTATGTGTATAGTTTCAAGTTTTTTGCTTTCGAAATTTGTCCTGTTTTGCTTGTTAGAGTTGAAGAGCAGCCTGATGGTTGTTGCATTAGGCTTTTGTCCTGTAAGGTGATACACTGATGCTTATGATCATTGCATTATTGTATTTGGGGATGATCTTTGAAGTTTTGAATTTTGTGGTCATGATATTTATTGATATTTGTTTCTCTGTTTGATTTGTTGAATGCTGTACTTGGCAGCTTGAAGGTTCGCCGATTGTGGTTGCACAGAATGAGAAGTTTGACGGTAAGGCTTTCTATTTAGGTTTTCTGGCTAGCATAACATGGATTATTTTGAATTTCTTTCTGTAGTGAACCCCTATTTTGGATTTGCTTTTGTATGATGGGTTTGAAATGTGATTGTATAATTGTCACGGGCCAATGCTTCACTCTCGATTATACAGTACAGACGTTTGTGACCTCGCCTATATGCTTGTGGTGATGATTCTTCTGGCATTACAGCCTTTACCATGACTGCTCTACCCATTGCTCAAGTTATTTCGTGTTGGAAGAATAATTATTTTTGTGAGGTCTGAGCCGTTTGAACCTTGTATAAGTCTCTAGTTTAGTTATTATTCAGTGTTATAACTTTAAGAATGGGAAGTTAGTTTGAATTTACGATTGGATTGGTTGCTGTGGATCAATGGTTTCTTTCAAAGGTTAATTTCAAAACCATGGCTTCACTAAAGGAGGACACGAAACACTTTCGTTCTCGTTTTTGTTTCTCTCTTGCAGTACAGAATGAAATGCGCAGCAACTAAATTTTACAATGTATAGTGCTGTCATGGTGGCAAATAGCAGACTAGGTTTTTATATATAAAATGGCTATAATTGAGGCGTCACAAGAAAGAATGGAAATGCTGTTTACCATCTCCTAGAAATTGGTTTCTGTTATTTATTTTTTGGAAACATTTTGTCCATGGCTATATTTTCAAAAAATTTGTACCATGTCAATTCTATATTAATATGCAAAGAATTGATTTCATATAGTGAACCCCTTTGAAAAAATATGAACTCTTGTTATTTTGGGCAATATGATAGACATCACTCTGCTACTTGCATGTGTGATTGGCTCCTGGAAAGTTAGTGCCGGTAAGGTATCAACGTAACAGCAACGCCAGGTTTTTGACATCAACCTCTGCTGCTTACCTGATGAAGTTAGGGGCACTTTAATAATTCTTCTGTCATGGAGAAAATAACATCTCTCTGCAAACCTTGAATGTTGTACATGATAAAAATAATTGTCCGGGACCTTGGTTTTATTGTACGCAATCATTTTGGCTGAACTGTGTTCTGTATGATGCAGAAGTGACCGTTTTCTTCTGAAAAAATAGCATGCATGAGTGTTAGCAGTTAAATTTCTAAATTTATTATTATACATGCTTTTTTCAGGAATGCTTTGACACTGATTTGGTGTGGAAATGCAGCTTCCATGGTCAACCAAATTTCTTGTGATAGCAACCAAAGCAACTCAACAATACAACAGCTAACTTCAGATGCAGTCATTGAGGTACCTGGCAAAGTGTTCTTTGCATGTAGTGCTGTGTTCTATCATGATTTCATTATTGTAGATGGTCATATGTGCACGAAAATATTAATTTTAAACTCATTTGTATTTCATTCTAGGTTAGCATTGATATTCCTTTTGCATTTAGAGCAATTCCAACTGAAGCAATAGAATCGACTGGTGCCCAAATCCTTCAGCAGATACTTGGGCAGATACTTCCCCGCTTTATGGCACAGGTTTGAGGAAATCTCAATTAAATTAGCTCATGAAGAATGAAGTAGGCTACCTGCCAGTTGCAAAGCTGGCATATGATCTCCTAGTACCTCATTTTGGTTAAACCCTTGCGTGTTCACTATTTGGGCGAGTCTTGAGGTTCTTGGTCCAGGTTGAATTCCACCGCCATGGAAATTGATTTCATTTTATTCTACATGGCAATCAAAATAGACATCCATCAATAAAATTGGGGAATTCGATGAAAGAAAAAGTCCCAGCAACGTATACTAACAGCACAGCACGGGAGCATTTTTTCAGAATTCCACAAAATTCCCTGTTATGTGATAATAAACTTGTTCATCAAGTAGTAAATGAAGTACAATTTGATGATTCGAATTTTAAAACAATGTAAAAATGCTTCCATGACCTAGATTTACTAATTTGATTCCTCTGCCTGTACATCTTGCCACCATCATATAGGATTGATTCATCCCCACCACACCATCCGTAGACTTGTATTTGTTGGCAGGGAATAGTTACTTTTATTCGTGACATTAATGCTTGAACAAACTGGCAGCTTGTGAAGGACTATCATGCATGGGCCTCTGGTGATGCATCAAGGCAGCCTCTCGGAACTGGTGAGATTTGAGATTCATGGAAGGCAGAGATTTGTAGCTGTGTATTTAAATCTGTAGCCTCCTCCAGTGCAGGCATTACATGTTTATATTGGATAACAGGCAATGAGAATCCTGGCTGTTCTAGATATACTTGTGCTTTTTTACTTGTTTCAGAGCTAGTCTTGGTTCAGGACAAACCACACGATTGGTTTCTGTTAAGCAGTGATTCTATTTATGTTCTTGTTGTTGATTGACGGACCACCATTTCTTCTTGGAACAATTTCTGTTAGCTTGTTTCCTCCATCTTCTCTTCCTGAACTCAAGTAGACATGGTTTTATATGGACCCAAATCATTCTCGAAGAAAACAACTATCACGAGAGCGCATGAACACAAAGGCTCAGAAAATAAATAGCCGCGAACTTGAATATAATCATACATCTAGCCATAACCCATCATCATCATGTTCTTCTCTTAGTTGGGCTATTCCTTGTTTCTGGGCTATTTTTTTAATCAGTTTTCTTCAACGTATCCATGGCCTTTTCTTTGCTAGGATCGGCCCACTTCGGAAAGCCCTTTTCTTAAAAAAAAAATAAAAAATAAAATCGAGCATGCCTCCGAGCATGAACGACAGGCGGGTGCCCTTCTCCGATCTGGATTCAGCGAAATCACCCCTTCCACATTAAATTTCTCCAGATCAACCCGTATCTATATTTCCAGTTTCGGTCTGCATAACCCCCTCCGTCCACATTTATATTAATCAGAGTAAATGAGATTGTATTTTTCTTATGACAAAAATCGGGAAAAAAAAATGTGAAGGATTTTATTGTTGGTATTAAAAAAGGACAAAGGATGAAATAACAAATAACACCGAAAAAGTTTTAGTTTTATTCATTATTCTTAGTCGTCGTCTTTTATTAATACCAACATCACAACCCTTTGAAATAACATTTTTTCCCACAATCTAGTGATCTAGCTATTTCATGTGAAATAGCAAGACCCTGTCGCAGATATTTGTCTATCATATCAATTCAGATCACATGATTGATTTTATCAACTCTTGATATTAATACCGTAAAAATTTCTTCCATTGATTTCATGATTACAAGCTGGATCACCACTAAGTGTCCTAGGTGAAGAGATAAAGATATACACAGCTCCCTCCATGATTTTCACTTGTATCTTTGCAAAGGTTCCATGAATGTAAATATCCACAAACAACACGAACGATATACATATACATATACATATACATATACATATACATATACATATACATATACATATACATATACATATACATATACATATACATATACATATACATATACATATACATATACATATACATATACATATACATATACACATACACATATCTCATTAGAGACGATAAATAGAATAGAGTTTACCTATCGTTGAAAGGGGTAATCCTGATGACCAGGCCAGGGAAAACATCATCCGGGTCATGAATGTGTGGATTTTCTTCAACAATATAAGGATCCCGACATTTTTCACTGATAGTATGCAAAGTCTCACCTTCTCGGACCACATATATCTCATCGCATGGCTTGTCCTCGAAAACCCTTGGATGCCCAACAGCAGCCAATTCACTTTCACTCACTTCGCAGCAGCTCAAAACCAGCATTAGCGCCATCAACAAAGCACAATACCAAGAAATCTTTTCTGCCATCACGGTTGATGAAGAAACAGAACCCATTAATTACTTATCAACAAAACACAACTTCTTGGCTTAAAGAGGTGGATATGGTTTGAGGTTTCTTGAAGGGGTAATTGTATATGTATGGAAGCTGGCAATTTAAGGAAGGGTTACTGTCTATAGGTGGTTGGACGGATTTGGATGAGCTCTGGCGCGATTTGAAAGCTTTCCTTCAGTGTGGTAGGTACGTGTCAGCGGGAAACGAATTCAAAAGAAAATGGAAAGAGTTGGTTTAACTGTCTCAATTTTTAACTCTGATCTTCATTCTATTACACCAAAAATTCGTGGCATCAGTGCTGTGGTTAGTGTGTAGTTGTCAGCCAGTTCATTTTCGTGGTTGTTGGTAAGTGTTTCTATAAATATTTTATTTTATTTTTTGTTTTAAATTAATTTTATTTTTAATATTTTTAGATTATGTTGATATAATGATATAAAAATAAATTTTAAAAAATAAAAATATTATTTTAATATTTTCCTAAAAAAAATATATTTTTCAATCATTTTCACAGTATATCAAACTAATATAATAATCAACAAGGGGGCAATCATTTCCATGATTTGATGATAGGAAAGCCTGACATTTAAGCTCACGGATATTCATTAATTAATTCCCAGGTATTGCGGATGAAAACTGTATAAAAATATCGCAGGATTTATAGACCGATTAAGATACTCTTATGCATTTTTATCATATTTATGTTTTACAGTGGAGTTTAAAGTTATTTTCAGTGGGAAAAACATAAAGTTGATGTTATTTTGGATATTTTAATATTTTTTTATATCAAATTCATAAAAAAATATCAACATAATATTAAAAATTAAAATTAATTATAAAATTTGAAATATCACTAGCCGTGTTCCTCATCCAAACTTGGTTACTTAAATTTGAAGCATATAAAAACAAAAATTGAAAGTATTTTTTTAAAATAAAATTTTAATTTGTTTTAAATTTATATATTTTTTGATAATTTGATATTATTTTAATATATTACGATTGAAAAAATTAAAAATTATTATTTTAATATATTTTTAAACAAAAAAAATTTTTAAAATTTTTTTTATTTCGAGCACAAACCCTATGTAACATGTATCCATGGCATATAAGTTTTTTTTTAATAATATCACTTCTATTGATGATGTCGTAGGGGAGGTTAAAAAGGATTTTCTTCACAACTAGAACGCAAAATTAAGGTAGCAAGTAGTAAAATTCTACCAATATTTTTTAAAGCCGCTCAAAAGGTTGTCTTTGATGAGTGATAGATCTAGAAACATATTTTTTATGAGAACTGTTACAACAATACTCTCTGATATAATATTATTAAAAAATAAAGTTTTTGGCTTGACAAAATGAAATTGTTTAGGGAGGTTAACTTGAAAATTTATTGTTTAGAATCTAATCCAAGCTAAATTTTAATTTAAAATTTAAATAAATATTAATATAATTAAATTGGGTTGATTTAAAAGGTTAACTTAATAAAATATAATTAATCTATTTAAAAATGTCATCTGGTATTCTTTAAATCCCAACAAAGCTAAGTTATTGTTAGAGATAATTATATATTGAGCTCTCATTTAATAGATTAACTTATAAATTAAGTTATTGGAATAAAATAATTTTTTAACTTGATATCTAAATTTAATCTATTAAATAGTAATGAGTTCAAATCTCATAAATCACATTTTATTTGATGATCACTTGAAAAGAAATATTAGATAAAATTATATAAATTACATTTTGAGGCACTACTTTATAATTTAAAATTTAATATAATATCAAAGAATGATTTCAATTCAGTTATTTAAGCTATTAACTGGAGCTTTGAAATATTATTTAGATAATTCTCTCTGACACTCTCACTAAATGATAATATAACTACTATGAAGAGCCGAAAGAAGTCTATCGTGATGAGTTGAGTTTACATGGCTTACCCATGCCCACAACTCACGTCTTACCTATGCCCATTTATCTCATGGCCAAGGCCCAAGTGGCAGGCTTATATTTAGAAATATTTTTCGAGAGAAGCCCATAGTCTGTAAGAGGGCCAGGGACTCTTATATTTAGAAATATTTTTCGAGAGAAGTCTGTAAGAGGGCCAGGGACCTTTCTGCTACAGGGAAGGAGAAGGAAAACCTGAAGTAGACGGAAAGAGGCAATCTAATGCGACGAAAAAGCGGGGGAGAACAGCTATAAGCTAGTAAATTTCCAAAAGCATGATAGAGCCAGTGAAGTTGATCCATGATGTAGGCCATGGATATCTGGATAAAGTCTATTAATGTTTCCAATTTCATGAGAAAAAGCCGATACCATACAGAGCAAGACAAACAGAGCCCCCCCAAATGGCCCAAAAAGAGAACATGTAAGATCAGGATCATTGCCTCCCCATATTTTCCCTTTTCAAAATTAACGTGTCGTGTATTATTGGTGGTGCAAATTAAACACTTGTTTATGGCCACTTTGTTGCCCCCCTGATCATGCGTTCTGCAATCTCTGAAAAATATCAGAGCAACCCGAGTCGACAAGAAGCTACCAAGAAAATGACATGGTCACTTGTAGACCAGTCAGTTCGGAGCGACCCATGAGTGTTGAGAAATAAGAATTGAATACAGTTTGGGTGAAGTCTATCTGTGTTGCTCTTGGCTAATGAGATGAGATAATCTTCAGAATTTGGGTGTGAAGGATAAGTCTGTCAAAATCAGGCATTCAACTTTGCACTGCCAAGGATGCTTTGGTAACTCTGAGAATTGTCGGTGAAAAGGAATGTATATTAAATACCCTTCATCCGAGTTCGTGAACCTCTCAAAATCAGGATAAAACTTGGATAAAGTAGTGGGCATTCCATTAAATGTTGAAACAGAGGCAGCCATCTTTTAGTGCCTCGTTTAGGAGATTTGACCCTTGGGACCAAAAAAAAACTTATATTTAGTGCCTCGTTTAGGAGATTTGACCCTTTGGACCAAAAAAAAAACTTCTATTTATTATTATTGCTGCTGCTGTTGTTATTCAAGAGAGGATATACAGAAGAAAGAGATGGAATGATGGGAAAACAACCCTGAGGAGATGGTGTTCATCGATTTGGAAATGACTTGTAAATTGGAGAACATAGAAAGAAGGGGACAGGAGAGACAGTAAAGGAGGGAAATGCTTTTTTGCATGTGCAAGGAATTGTTTTGCCTTTAAAAATATTTTTATTTTTTTAAAATTAATTTTTTTATATAATTTTAAATTGTTTTGATATATTGATATTAAAAATAAATTATTTAAATAAATTTCAAAATAAAAAAATAATTTAAAAAATAATTATTACCACAATCACAAACACTATTTAATATCAGTTTTTAGATTTTTATAGCTTTCATCATGATTATCCATTTATTTTTACATTTCACCTTAATACATTCAAGTCAATTATAAGTTGGTTTTAATCAAGATAAAGGGAGTAGAAGCTAGCCCCTGTCGAACCCATCTTAAGCTGCGCTGGCCCAGACAGGTTCCCCTGAAGTCCCAACTTCTTCCCTATTTTTTTTTTCCCGGCCACCGTATCCATTCAAATTAACTCACAATCACTATCATATGTTTTTCACACGGGTCTTCCATCCCTTGAACTTCATGAGCATCACGATCTCACTCGTTACGGATATTTCTTAATTAATTGATTGAATTATGAAATTATACTTGTAATTTATCCAATATATATATATATATATATATTAACAAATTGTATGATTGAAACCCAATTACAGTTAAATGTAAGAAAAAATTATTTATTATTATAATCAAGTTCAATGATTTAAATAAATATCGATATAGATGCAAGCATCGATCGTAACAGCTCCAATAAATTGATAAAATTGCAACTTGACAAGCCCATGCTAAATATATGATCATGACACCGCAATGTCCCCTCACTTCGAAGGAAAACCGAGAACAAGCAAGAACATAATGTCCAAAGTATAAGCTTTATAGGTAAAAGAGTAGTGGCATATTCCTTCGAACAACTAGACAGCAGCAACGCCTAAGCGATAAATGTTACATGGACCCAACCATGCAGCATTTTCTTAATTTCATCTTCATCAACATAGGATTCTAATCTAATACAACTACAGCCTTTGAAAGCCCTAGAAATCCAGCAAAGACACTGAAACTGTAATATGATTTGATTCCCAATGATATAAAAATTCCACCATTTATCTGCCTAAGTCTCGTATATTGTCCATGATGGAAAGACCAGCCCCATGTAGCTCCAAAGGGTGCAAAATGTGATGGGCTGGTGATAGTTTTTTGGCTTCTTGGAGATGGAGTTTTGCTCAAATCCTAGAGAATGATTTGAGAGAAGTGGAGGAGACACCATGCATGGAGATGGAAAATTGAGTGATGCATAACCTAACATAAGTATACAGCTCTTGCCTATCCCAATGCTCTTGTCTGCATACCGATGGACACATATAAATAATTGCCCCACCATCACGGCCCATATATATATATATGCTCGGGTAGTTCATATTATTCATCTTCTCGATCTTTTTTTTTTCCATATATATATATATATATATATATAAGTTAAGAGATATATTATTAATCAAAGATTTCAATCCTCAAATTAGTTCCTCTCATATATTATTAATCAAAGATTTCAATTCTCAAAGTAGTTCCTCTCATCTTGTAAAAATTATAAAATTCTGACTTGATGTTTATGTTTTTCTTTTTAATATCACTTTCCAAATTAATTTATAATTATTACCAAAACATGATGTTAGAACAAAATTTTAGCATCTAGCTACTAGTAATTGATTAATTTGTAAATATAATCAATTATAAATTGATTAAGCCTGTTTCAATTATAAATTAATTTTATCAAGCGATTTATTCAAAACCCGATCACAATTTTGCTGGGTGTTAGAATATTTTCATGAAGAAAAGCCAATTATTTGCATTTCCATCATCCTCACCTTTTCCTTGTGGGTACTTCAATTTTGTGTCTAATATTTCAGGAAAATTACTTGTGTCAATTTCAGTGTGAATGATTTATTTTTTATAATAATATTAAAGAAATTAACTCAATCTCAATGCACTTACAAAGCGGATTTGAGAATAGTGCCTCTGTAGAATATTAAAAAAAATAAATCTACAATCTGTTAATCTATTTATAGTTAAAA